GCCTAATTAACACTTTATTCAAGTCCAAATTTTATTGTTTCAATTATGTGTGTGTGTTAAGTAAGAGTTTGAGTTTTAAGTGGTGGGTGGGGAGTGGGGAGTCCCCACCAACAAACAATTTAACAAAATAATTTCAATTTGCGCACACGAGCTCGCCAGGCCTACAGGATGTGCAGGATAAAACGTATGTTTCGCAATCGAGCGTAAATCACAAGCACATTAAAATTCAGAAGGCGAGGAAAACAATTTGTGAAAGGCACAACCATATTGCCGCACATAGGCGGCTATATACGGCAAGAAAATGCGGTGGAATCAAACAAATATCTCTTAGAACTTGAAAAAAAATTAAAGACATGCTCTTTAAACTTTTTCGCACACCTAATCATCGAGTACAAATCGATTATTAGAGTAAAAATCTCTGAAACAATCTAAATGTTTGACTAGTGACGATCATCATATATCCATTCTTCTTCATAGAAATATAATATTCATATATGATTTATATTGAAAATCTCAAGCCAACCAACCATAATCAGCTAAGAAAGGACCCATTGTTTTGAGCTGATTAGTGGAAATAGGCGTGGGTTCCATTTAAAGATTTTATTGTAGTTTGTAAGGCCGTTAAAAGAGATAACTACCTCTAATCCTTTTTTTTTTTATAAATGTATTTTACTTTTATAACACTAGATCTGACCATTTTTCTAGCGCAATATTCTCAAGAAATATAATGTTAAGTAAGGTGTTTATGGAACCTTGTCTGTATTGCTTTCTTTATCTTGGTGTTATTTTGCAGACTAGAATATACGATTACATACCAAAGAACCATTCGTAGAGTGACTTTGTTTTATTAAAATCAGTCAAATACAGAATACAGAAGTAAAAGAGGACTTGGCTAGACCTCACAATTAATAGGCCTACAAGTAGTTTTACAGGCAGGCACTAAAAGTGAACTTACAATTTGTTTCTTGCAAATAATTTTCCATGAAATCATATGGATCTTAAAATTGCATCACTTGTAAAATAAGATCAAATTTAAAGTTAAGAGATTGATAAAAAAAACCATCTCTGATCACTATCTCCATGACTTTTGAAGAGCTCAATAATTACAAAATATAATAATAAATTAATAATTTTTTGTAATTATAATGGTATTTCAAAATAATATACCATTATAATTACCAAAAAAGAAATACAAAAAGTATGTTTTAGTTTTTGAAATATTTACCTATTCAAATTTTGCAGTCTACTTTTTCCCCAATTGCGAGTTGAATTTAACAAGCTTCGAACAACAATCAAGAATAAGGCGTGTATCTTTTGAAAGTTTGTATTGCTTCTACCTATTGCTGTACACCTTTAGGGTCATCGAAATTTTGTTCAGACAATTCTTCAAATAGTCTCTATCCGAAAGTGCCACAAGATCATTTTGCTTGAGATAGAAACGGACAAGGAATTAATTTGACAACATTAACAAATTAAACTGTTAAACCCACACTCACACACATGGATGGAAACACAAATGTTAGTCAATGGCAAGCCGTTTGTCCATTCGTCCGCTCGTCCGCCTCAACGTCCTGCCACTTGGCCAACAGACATTTACAACATCATTTGTAATCCATATCGCCCAGCATGTAGTCCCCCAGTCGATTATTCACAACGCGTGGTGTGTGTTTGGTTTGTGAATGTAAGCGAGAGAGAGAGAGAGATGTATTGACCCTTCAACAGATTCTTTACGAGTGTCGGTGCTTGGAATACGAATACTTCACGCTATTTATTGGCTCACTTTCACTTGGATTGGACACGGACGTACATTTCCCAGGGCAGGGCCCTGTTGGCATGCCACTTGCCTTGAAATAATAGTCCTCGACAACCGCCAACCATCTCTGGGGAATCCGAGAATGCTGTGTTTGCGGTGTGCATTTAACTCAGATATTGGCCACGTGTTTGGATTTCAGGTTACAACGTTTTGCGAATTAGTTGTGCTCATTTGTCAACTTGATGGTGTGGCCAATATTAATTGGCATAATGTCAATGCAGAGTTGAATGCAGTGGGAAAATAAAAAGGGACTGTATATACCTATATCTATGTATAATGCAGAGGCAAAACAGGGGCCACCTTTTCATGCAACATTCATTCAATTGTTCCATTAATGCACATACTCTTCGAGTCTATTGTTAACTCTTTGAAAATGGCTTTTTTGTAAAATTTGTAATGAGAGTATTTGAAAGTAAGGATCCTAAATGGGAGTTCAGGCCTGCTCTTTCTCCTTCTGCTCTGCTTATTGTCAAGAAAAACTTGTCAGTTTTATAGATTGGGGAATATGGTTGTGCCATAAAATTGATTTGCCTTTTTCAAATACACGCTTTTTTCTAAATTTGCATTATCTATGCACTCCAATCTTAAATTTTAAACTTTATTTGGTAACAAAGGTTGATTAATCAATAGATATTTTTGAACCTTCTCATTATGTTTAAGAACAAATTGAAATGAAAGCAATCTATCTCCACTGATTGACAGTCTTTTTTCTTATTATTATTATTTGTTATTATTATATCCTAGTGCGACAAGAAAAAAATTCTTATAAATTAATGCACTAGTCACAAGAAACGTGCAATTTTCTTTAAACAAATTTAAGATGGTTTGATGAACCTACTTTACCTATTTTATAAAATTGGAGTTAAATCTAAAAGACTATTTTATGTTGCAGAATTTTTATGTTGTTAGTTACTTATTTTTAAGAACGAATTTAATTTTTCCCTAAATTGCGATGATCTACTAATTTTCTTTAAATATTGACGTAGTCGTTAACCTATCATCTTTATTTAAGATGTGGTTTGGGATGGACAATTTTTGAATTGTAGGATAACTTTGTTAATTATTAACAGACGACGCAGGCATTTATTATGGCCAAGCCACTGGTACTTTGAAAAGTTCAACCCGCAAATGGGTACAAAACAAATGTTACAACATTGTTTTTAAAAACTTTTGTCAAACGTCAAAGGCACGTTAGTTGTTAATTTTTCACCTTTTCTAAGGATCTACACTTTGGACAAAAATTTAAGAATGTAGAATTATTATTTATTTATTTAATTAATTCAATTAATTTCGTCTTTAGAAGATTTTCGCAACTCCATTGTCTCTAACTCTTTAAAGATTCTTTTCCTATAACTCGCTCTCTTGAAAAACCTTTCCCTGCGACTAAGACTAGGTAAGGCAGAGTAAATTTATGTAAATGGTTTAAACTTTCATTCTAGAAGTCAGCGCAAAACAAATTGCATGCAAATTCCAGCTTAACAACTCTGCTCTGACAAAAATGTTTACACACACAAAGTTGCAGCGTAGAGTTCGCCGAAGGCTTGAATGTTCAGCTTGTGTCCGATAATAGTGATTAATTGAATCTCTTGCTGGGGGGAGGTGAATGGGAAGTAGAATGGCATTTAAAAATGGTGCATAAAAGCGAAATTCGGTGCAAATTTCCCGAGGATATGTGTAGCAGCAGAACGACTTGCAACTGCAACTTGCAACTGTTGCCATTGTTGCTATTGTTTTTGCTGCTGTTGCTGTTTCTGCTGCTGCTGGAAGGCAGTTTTGGAGTTGGCATACATACGATGGAAGCGTCGTTTCTCTCCCTCGAACAGACTGCGCCTAGTTCCATTTTTGTGTCTGTCGAGCCGAGGAAGAGGAAAAATATTTTGACAAATGAACCTAAATAACAGGTTGCAATCGCTCAGCACTAACACACACATACAGATGCGTGGCCGGCCAGGCATTGCAGAGTTGGACAGGAAAACGTATGGTCAGACAACCTTGATACCTCATTTATTATAAAATGTATCTGCAGCATTTTGGTCGATTGCGCCTTTCCAGACCGTCACTAGGGTTCTTGAAGCGCGCACAAATGAAATCGACACATTGGGGTAAAAAAAAAGTAAGAAAGAATGAAAAAAACGAGCCCAGTCGCAACATTGAAGTGGAATCCATCAAGCTGGCCCTCGCTCGCCACTGACGAATCGACGTCAGTTCTGTTGCTGTTTCTGTGGCTGTTGCCATTGCTGAGTGCTCTCCAAAATTGTTACAAATGATCGCAAATAACAGATCTTTGCCGCACGGTCGAGTTGTGTTGCTTGGGTCTCGGCTGCTTGGGTGCGCTGGCCTTCAAAGGAGCCGAACCGAGCCGAAAACCCGAGACGACGCGAGTGTGTGACCACAACTACACTCGAAGAAAAGTATAAGCCAGTTCCAAACCTACACACAACCATGAACCCAATTAAAGCAAAGATCAATATATTAGAAAAAGTGATAAAGTGAAAAGGATAAAGTATTCTGAATCAGCGTGAAGAGAGAAATCGATCTCGACATATCCGTCCGTCCGTCTGTCCGTTCGTCTGTCTGGATGAACGCCTGTATTTCGGAAACAGCTAAGCGTACATAAACCAAACTTGGCGCTTGCTTAGACGCTCTTAGTCCCTAGTCTATACGAGTTTATTTTACTTTTAAGAATTTCGAAAGAATTCGAAAAGAGTCAACCACTGGATTCAATTTATTCACTTTTCGACAGGGTCATCAACTGGGCCTTATACTGATACTCTCAATATCAACATGTATAATATATGCGTTGAATATTAAAGCTGTAATTATTCCTGGCTCGACCTGTTTGTAAAACAAACACCATCGGCTTGCATTTCTCTCAGTGTTTAGAGTACGAAGTGATCTCTGTTTATGGCTGTGTGTGTGCGTGTGTGTGAGTGGGCCTGAGACTGGGCCAGTTGCGTGGCTCAACCGTTCATTTGATTTTTTTTTTTGCCCAGGCCCTAAACCAGCACTTGCTGGGCGCCGATGCAAGGTAAATTGCACTGATTTCTTGATTAATGACACTTTTGCATTTTGCTGCTGATTGCGGCTTTTCATCTCGCCGTTTCATTACACACTACGATTACACTCTCACAGATAAGCACTCCGTGTCGAAGGGTCTTGTCTTTTGTATCTTGTTTCTTGTACTTACCCTGATTGTTGTTATTGTTGTTCTTGCGCGATGTCTTCTTTTCCTTCATCCATGGGTACTCGGGCACAGAGTCCATGCCGTCTGGCGTCTGCGGCACCACACCAACCGGATATCCGCCAGCACCGCCGCCACCACCACCACCGCCAACAGGTGTGCCAATTTTCGGACTCTCCGGACTGAGATGGTTGAGGAATTCCGCCATCGAGGGCTGTGAATTGATAAAGCCACCTTCCGAGGCCATCCAGTAGGCCGTGTCGGCCGCTCGTTTATCACAGTTGGGTCCCATTTTGTTGACAAGCATCACCGCTGGTGGCGGCCCCTGCGGCTGTGGTGCGGCTACTGGCACTACGGTCTGGCCCGTTTGCACTTGCAGCGGATTGAGCGGTGACTCCGACTTGATTTGGGTGCCCATTTGGGTCTCCAATGTGCTACACACCTCTTGCATTTTACACAGTTACTTGAGCTTGGAGTGGTTTTATTTTTCAAATAGTTTGCTTATCTTTTTAATGCCTACGTGGTCTTTGCTTTATCTGTGAACCTGCAAACAAAAAAAGTGAAAATAGTAATAATATGGAAAGACTTTACTTTAAATAGAGAATGAATAAAAAGATGATTGATTAGGGAGAGGAAACAAAAATATAAGGTGAACATTTTCCAAGATATATTTAATTTTGATTAACCCATTATCCAAAGGGTTAATACAAGTACGTTGCAGTCATACAAAATATGTGCTCAAAGCTAATCGAAGTGAATATGTACATAGATACTGTTCAAATATGTTACTTAGCAACAAACTAAAGTTTGCTATTGATTTCATTTTGTTTGTATTCTATTGGAAAGAAAATTCAAATGCAAAGCTGAAACAATTTTATAATAAAAGGCCCTATAAGTTTTGCATTATATTCAAGATAGTCAAAATAAGATAAGATATTATAATTCGAGTGAATTGAATTTTAATGTTAATAGTTTTAACTTCAAAGCTTAATTTGATTAAATAAATTGAAGAAATAAACGAAAAAGAATAAGTTAGATATTTAATATTGTGATCTGGAAAACTGTCTGATTTGAATTTGATGAAAAGGAACTCTTCGGTAGTTTAAAGTTTTTGCAAAAACCAAAGTTTTGTTTACTATTATTCAATATTCCAATAATGTTTCCAAATCATTTTCAGCTCTATAAATTGCAGATAAATTAGTATTGTGCTGAACAAGTCATATTAAAATGTGTTTTGGATTAGTTCAATTTGTTATTATATCTTGAACATGAAATAGTAACAATTCAAAGAATGCATTTTTCTGAATTATATTATTTTTAAAAACACAAAATCAGACAAACTGTAAGCTGTAAATAAGCTCTCGCTTTTATATAAATGTCCCAATCAATGTTATGGAAATACTTTTTACTTTCTTTCACCCATCAACATAACGTACTTTTTCCGACGGCTACTAATAAATATAATCGGAATAATAATTCCATCAACTTTTATATTTATGTTTATATTCACACTTTTTCAAAATAGAAATATCAAAATTTGGAAATAAAAAGGCAATATAATCTAAAATATATTGAAGATTTGGATTGAGTATAGCTTAGCAAATTTTCTTGTCTTTTAAGGATTTTGATAATTTTATGATACATAGGAAAATAATATAAGAGAGAGATTATTTTCTTTATAGTGTTATTGCCAATTTCAGTGAGTTTTGAACACATTCCTATTTATGTATAGATCCAAAATTATTATTATTTTTATGTGTTTGCAAACACAATACGTTCCGAACAAATTCAATTTATTTAAAATTTTACGTTCTTCTTTTTACAAGCCCACATTTATATGGCCTTTTTAGTTTTCTTAAGTTTAGTTGTTGTCACTTATTCAAATGTTTTTTGAATTTCAAACACACTCATTCGATTTTATTGATTTCCAATTGGATTTGTGTATTGGGTATTGAAGTAAAGTGAAAAATGTTAATAAAACTTATAAAACTTTCGCAAAAGCTGATAGGAATAGGATAGGAGTTGTGTGTAATTAAATGAGAACATATAATTGCTACGAACCATTTCATTTAATTGCTGGTCTGCTGCCGATTAGCCAAGCGTTTTTTTTTCTCATGTTTATATTTAACATTATTGGTTTTCACTTTCGACACTGGCCCACCCACACATACACGTATTCGTTTATAAATGCTGCATGTTACATTTTTGCATATTCGATGGTGACTTATTTAATCGGCTGCTAGTTGTTTTCCGTTTGCCAACTACGGGCGGGTCAAAAGGAGTGGCACTGGCACTAATAAATCGTCAACGGGAGCACTGAAACCACTGACGGCACCACCGAAAAACGAAAACGCGAAAGTATGGCGACTCTTGTTTACTCAGGCGGCACAATTCCAAGTGGTGCAGTCTTTCACACTTTGGCATGGCGACGCGAATGCCAAAACACAAAACAGAACTGGCGACCACAGCAACAACAACTCCGCGACGCTAACGAAAAACACAATATTAACCTAGCATGGACAACGGTGCGTATGCGAACGCCAGCAGGCCGGCCGTGCGGAGAGTTTGTAGAGAAAGAACTGGCTGGCTGGCTGGCTGGTTGCGACGATGACAACGACGACGACCGACAGAGCGACGTCTTTTCTCGATCGCCAAGCCGGCCGAGAATCTTGCAATGGCTACACACACACATGCACACACATACACACAATCGAGCAATGCACTGCGTATTTGTGTAGGTATGTAAGTGTTACACTCTTCTTCTACACATTCGTTTGCACTGTCTGTCCCTTTCTGTCCAGTGGTCTAGGCGCTGGTGTTGGTGCAGAACCGGTTTCGGTGCCTCAATGGTGGATGGCGAGGGAGCGATTAATGCAGCTACCTTGCGTTCGTTCTCTTGCCAATAGCGGTAAAACGCTCACTCAATGCACTTCGAATTTACATAAACCTTACTATATTTGTTTAACTATTAGTTTTTATTTTGTTGGCTTTGACTGTTTGCCAAAATATTGCGGATTGGTGGCACTTTTCTATAACTTTTGCTCACTGAAGACGTTTCAATACGACGACGATGACGGCTACGAAGGCGACAGCTTCGTGCGGCACGATTTTCAAGCGTCCATTACATCCAATACGGTGGCAACTCAAATAGCAACTGCGAACTAGAAATGCTCGAAAGTGGCGTCGATGTTGATGTCGATGCCGTCGCAAGGAGTGGCCACCAGTCGGACATGCGCACTGTTTGCTGCGCCAAGGTGGCCGCCGGGGGTGGAGTTCTGTTGCGTTGCACACACACACACGTGCGCACCTTTTCACACACGCACACAAACACACCCGTACGTTCAACTCTCCGCAACGCTGATTGGCCGACGTTCAAGAGTGTGTTTGTGTCTCTGGCGTTTTCTGCGGTCTGCTGTCATTTCCGCAGCGCAAGTGCACCCTCCGCTCTTTTTGTGTCGTCTTTTGTTTTTGCTTCTGCCCTTCTCGCGTTATTTTTTTTATCTGAACGTGTTGCTTGTGAAGGAATTTATTTAGTTTTTGTTATTTACATTCCATGGCGAGTTTCTTCTCTCACACTCTATTTAAATGCGAGAATATCCAATTTAATATTTAAGTTGAAATAAAAAAAAATGGACAAATAACATTTATAACCAATGCAATCAAATAAATAATAAAAAGTTAAAAACATTTCGCTTTTTAAAAAGTACAGAAATTAACTTGTAAATTATTAGATATATACTTGTATACTCGTACATATGAATATTTAAATACATATTCTTAAGTAATAAAATGATTGTATTCCAACAAATCGTAATTCTGTTTCTGCATGAAAAGCAATTCCATTTGTAAGGGAAAAGTCCCTTTTATTTAAGACTGTTAAAGCACTTTTTCATTAAAAACGAAGACTGCCTTTTCAATCAACGGCTTTTATTGAATAATATTCAGAAATATCTATGTAACATTAAATATAAATATAACATAAGAAAACAAAAAGAAATATTTAATTATTATTATTTTATATAGAAACTCAATCGAAATTTGTAACATTTTGACATAACGTAAATAAATTAAAAATATTTAAGAAGTTTTATAAAATTTTTTATGAAAAAAATAGAATTGAATTATAAAATTTTTATTTATTATTATGTAATCATTGTGCATTCTCATTTATGCAGCACAAGTAAAAATTATTTTATTTATTTATTTAAATTTTTAATTAACAATTTCTTATTTTTTTACAATACCTTCTGTAATTAGACACTGCTAGAAAGGTAGAAATTATTCTGCATTCATTGTTTGCATTAATGTTAAAGAAAAGTAAACACACTTGGCTCTTACAGAGTATTTAAGCTTCGACATTTTCCGCTAGCTCCTCTTGCCTGTTTTATTTGTTGGTGTTTGTTTCGTCGTTGGCACTTGGTATTTTTGACATTTCGTTTTGTGCGTCTTTCTTTTTGCTTCGAACGCCTCTTCTCCTGTCCATCACATTGTCAATCTTGGTGGCATTGTTTTTATGTTGCCACACTTTTTTATGTTGTCTTTTAATGTTGCCTTCCATTGCATTCGTCTCTTTTCTCTTTTATTTATTAGCACTCTCTCATTCGTCTGCTTTTTGTTTTAGTTCGTCGCAAAGCGCAGTCAAAGTCAAAAGTTGGCACGCACATGTTCAAAGTAGAAAGATAGATATGTATTTATATTTATCAGATCTATATATTTTACAATGTTTGTTATATCTGTCTAACTGTGTTTTTAATAAACAAATTGGTAACGTTTCAATGGGTTGTTAAGAAATGAACTGCCTTGTGGCATTTAATAAGAAAATAGGTGCTAAGAAAGTTGATGATTTGCAGGCAGCTTTATTAAATAATTACCTTTTTTTGGCAAAACATTTCAATTCAGAACTGTTTCCATCTAATGCTAGTTATACTTACAATACAATTTGCTTAATCATCATATGTATATACTAGTAAATACATGTCTCATACATAACTTTAGAAAATAATAAAGAAAAGTTATGTATTTTCTATAGTACTAGTTCACAACCAATTCTAAAGCCTTATTCTGTGCGTTACATGCATGTGTATTAGTTTCACGAATAAGGTCAGGACCAGGTGCATAGACAGATCCAACTAACGTGATTTGATTAAAGCATGTACTTATTTTAATTCAACTTAAGCCTGTAAAATTCTTCAGCTCATCGATCATAAAACCTTTACACACACTTATATAAGTGTGGAAGAACACATGTCCACCATAAACTCTTTATTGCAGGTGATTAGATGATGTTAAAGCTGCGCATTTATAGCTACCGTGGTCGCAGGTAGCGACATCGAAATATTCATGCGCCGTTGGAAAAACCCCGGGAAAACCAGAGTTTACTCGTTCATACCTAACAGTATTACCTAAAATGTGTGAACCCACATATGTATTAGGTAAATGTGGAAACACATATGTGCTTGCGAGGAGTAGAGGCATGTCAGATATTTGAAATAAATAATAATCTTCCTCATGAAGTTGGCTTTTAAAAAACAGCTACTTAAAACAGAGAATTCTGAAATGAAAGTAGAAAGAAAAGATGATAAATTTAATTGGGATCCAGATAGATGTGGTTATAATAGATATAAGAATGAAATCTACAAAAATCAGCATTCAGCTGAGCGTCCCATTAACCGCCTATTAAGCTAATAATATCACCTTAAATATTTCATACCCAGTATATATTGCATTCTTTGCCAAGTTTGGTTTCTTTTTGCAATAGAAAACAGTGTTGCTATGACCATTATTGTAGGGTCATTCCCTTCCTCACAAATACAATTAAAATGCAAGGAAAGCAAAAGAATAGACTGCTATATGAAATATTAAAAGCTTAATATATAACAGCTGAATAAAAGTTCTGAATTGAGGAACACATGTATAGATTATCATTTCTCAATAAGAGCGCGATTAAAAGTTATGCTATATATCAGAGTATACCATATAGGTTCACATTCTCTTAAAATATTAGACCCTAAAATATTTTTGTTATGGTATTTCCGTATATATATATATAGTTTTCGATATGATTAAAACAAATAACTCAGCATTTGGGGCAAGCATAAAAATGTGATATTCTGATTGAGAATGAACAAAGTACTAAAAACTGTGCCACCTACAGCCTTCTTTTCGCAAAGACTTATACTTCAACAAAACTATGTATTTACAAATTTTGATTTATTTTATAACATTTACGTTGCTAGGCTCAGTAGGTAAAGAATGTTGATGATTTTTTTTTCACTTATAAAACTAGACAGTTTTCAAGAGATTTAAAGCTGTTAGCAATTAACTAAAGTGAAGCCAAAAATAATATTTTTCCATATCATTCTTTTTAAATAACAAACTACACCAATTTTATTTTTTTCTTAATAACTTTTAACTGAATTTAAAGATAAATTCGAACGATTTTATTGCTTGACTATAATAATGAACACGTAATTTCTTAAAATTATATTGACAAATTCAAAATATGTTTCTGAATACATAGTTTCAATATTACAAATCTTTTAAAATTAAATTCCATCTTAAATGTGTAGATAGCTTTGTGTTGAGGTCCTTTTCAATCATTTCGAATGATGCATCAAGTCAAGTCCTTTTTTAGAGAAAAAAAAACAAACTATAATGTCTGCCAAAGTCAATTAAATGCTTCCACCTATTAGACACACACGATTTGGACAGCAGTCGTTTCGTAATAAAGACTCACGCCACCTTGTCGAAGTTCCGCTGGCACTGGGACTGGGACTGGGACTGGCGTGTGTCCGGAGTCTGGGACAGAGACAGAAACAGAGACAGGCGCGACACATATGCCTAGCCGGCTGGACGAGGCAATTTCCGAAGCGACATGTCTTGAGTCGCGTCCTTATGGCACTCGCCCTCAACAGGTAGTCGCTGGTCGAAGTGTTCTGATTCGTGGTTGACAAACCACGGCAGGAAACTACCTAGGCCTGAGTATAAAAGCAAGCAACATATTTGCACAAGTATTCATTTAAAAAACAAACGTGTCAAGATCAACAAGCAAAAGCCAAAGTCACCAAAATGTGCGACAATATCATGCCATCTTACGAGACTTCGTACGATCTCAGCGATTACTTGGTGAGTTAAAGGAAATAATAGCACTATGTTTTATAATTTCACACTGAAATTGATTTCTTTTCTCTAGCTATTTCCACAAAATGTGAATGCTACCAGCCTGTTGGATTCAGCGTCCCCTCCAAGATGCGAAGAGAAGACGAAACGTGCCAGAACTGCGTTCTCGAGCCATCAATTGCTGGAGCTGGAACGCGAATTCCATCTCAATAAATATCTGACTCGACCACGTCGCATACAGATTGCTCAGAGCCTATCCCTAACCGAAAGACAAGTCAAAATTTGGTTCCAGAATCGTCGTATGAAATGCAAGAAATTGGCAAATAGACAGCCGGGCAAGAGGCAACTACAGGCCGATTATTTAATGAATCAGGAAGGTCCCGAACCAAATAAGCTAATAGTGGAGCGTCTCTTGCAATACGCAAGCGTCACTCCATCTGAGCTCCAGCATTACAATGAGGCTGCCATCAGCCCGCCACAGGCATGCTGGGATAATCAAAATGTGGATTTGGATTCGATTGTCTCCAATGGATACAGTTCTGATTCCCAAGCAAATCCGAATTTGTTCTTTGATATGACTGATGCATATCCCACTAGCGTTTCCAACTACGATCTCTCTCCATCTATGGATTACTGCCGGACCGATGACACATCCCCGTGGAGCAATTGTAATTGGTATGGAAAGGAATTAGACACCTCTACATACCTTGCACCACCAAGTCCTGAAAGCATTGGCCAATTCCCATGCTTTTCGGAAAACAACATTCGCTGGAACTCAAATAGTTCTTTGGCCACATCCACATCGTCCTTCTCGAGTGAAACCCTAGACATAGATCACGATTTCATACAAAATTTATTGGACTTTTAGTTTAAGTAATTATTGATTATTATAGGAACTTATTTAATGAATGGAATGCAATATTAAAATAGTCTAAGCTTTAATTAAACTAGTTCCGTTAAGTGTAAGCCTTAGTGGAATTTTTAAAAACTATTTTTAACCTACCTAGCATTTTAATTATTATTATTATTAATTGCGGTTTTTATTTAGCGAATTTTAAGTTTGCTTTATTTTTTTCATATATATTTTTTTTATATTTTTATTGAATGGATAGTTTGTAAAATTATAAATATATTTCATCTCATTAGTAATATTTATCATTCAGCACAACTATGAACAACATATACAAACTGTTTAATGCCTTATGTATTGAAATTTAGAAGCAGAGACTACAAGAAATTTGAATTTTTCGACTATTAATTTTGTGGGATTCGTTCAAAAAAAAAGTTAAGCTACTGATTCTGTTTGACGTAGCCATAGAATCCATCGGTTTTTAATAATAGTTTTGTTAAATAAATGAGTATTGGTTTGCAAAATAATAATAAAACCAACTTGCTGAGAATAATATTTATCAATGAATGGACTAAAATATTAAGGATTTTATGAAAACAATCTGAACGTATGTCCTCAAAATGTTTTCCCTGAACCCTCAATCTATAATACAATTTATTTAAAGAGATTGTGCATGGCATTGTTCTACTTGATTCATTTAAATATATAATTATATTAAAATATTGCCATGCAACTTATAAAGCTATTTTTTTAATATACTATTTTAATGCTTTTTACCAACAAATTTTGGCTAAGGTGGATCAAAAAAAAAAAAAATAATAACGAAGAGATTAATACGTCTTTTCATATAAATAAAATATGACTGGAATGCTTGAAGTGAACACACAAGAGAAATATGAATACCAAGTCTGACTATTATTCTTGCGTTCAAACAGACAGACAGATGGATGTAGGGTATACAAATATAAATTTAACATAATAAAATATAGAATACAAAATTGCAAAATAAAAAGAAAGCGAAAGATAAAATTGTTATATTTTATATAATTAATCGAATCTGTATTTAATTTTGTGTTTTATTTATTTGTACATTTTATTTTCACAGAAAAAACGAAACAGTTGACAGTTGGAATTAAAAGGCTTCTAATCTTGAATGACAAAATACTTAAGAGGAGTCTTTAAGGGGAGCCTTTCACTAGCCCGGAGGGATACGGATATAAAATAATCTGTCTGTAAGTCACACATTATCTTTATATTTAAATATGCACATGCCCTACTCTAAAACTGCTCCACAATGCAAATGTAGATATGTAGATATGTGTATTTGTATAAAAATATTTATACTTGTACCTCACTGGGTTAAAGTAGTGTTGGCGCCAGATGAGACTCATTTGTCCTGCTGCTTCATTTCGGCGCCCATTCGCCATTTCTTTTGGGGCAGAGGCGAACACACAACAGAAAAATTGGTGTCATCACATCATAAAGTAATTTCGACATATTGAAATTTTGCTCATATCAGAGTCAGGCCACATAACTGACAACGCACACATACTTAAGCATTGGCTCACACACACACACACACCCATACACATACACATAGTTATATGAAGTCGATTGTGCCGGGGGGAATGGGAAATATGTACTCATAAGTATGTGCGTGTGTCTGTGTCCTCTTTGAATATTGCGGCTTCCTCGAAACATATTAGGGTTTCCGTAGATTTCATCTTCTGCCCCAGTCGTGTGGTTTTGTGAGTGGACAATATTTCATCAACAGCTGTTGTGCCCAGCAATGGCATGTGCTTAGGACATATTAGTTTTATTATTCCAATAACATTAGCGCATTGAATTTCATTATCGATAAACTTTGATCATTGATATGAAAATTGATTGAAAAAGTTGTATATTTACGGTGGAAACTGTATTTGTTTGCATGAATATTAATTTTCCTCTTTAACTTCAACAAGTGTGTTGATTGATTAAACAGAAATTTATATGAACGTCTCTTATGGAACTTATAAACACTCAAATCTTGGGTTGAGTGATAATATTTAAAATATCAAAAAAACATTGTGGAATGGTTAAACCATTCACTATAATAGAAGCATCTTCTTTTTATTGAATTCATTAAAGGGAATGCTTATTTTTGAGATCCTGCTTAGCCTAAATTAGAAAAAGTTTATCATGGTTTTTATAATCGTTAGACTCTTAAGAAACATCAATTGAAGGCGAATGATTATAAATTTTAAATTTGGGAAAGAAACTAAATAAGAATTTTAAGAATTGTGTGATAAATACGTTTTATAGATAATTTAGTGGATATATAATACTATTTTCAAGATTTACGGCAAAGTAGTAGTAGTTACATGGATTGTTTTATATTTAACAAAAGTTCGGCACAGCTCAGCAGCGTTTGTTGATAACAACAACACCGTCTCAGTTATTTGATCGATATTCGAAATAAAATTAGAAAAATTAATTCAAATAATTTGGCTATGGAGGTTCATTATTTGTAACGGAACTTCGGACCATATTTGTGAACAAACTCAGACGTATTGGATTTAATAACCTACATGCAAATCTCTTGCTTTATTTTTGAAAGTTTACCTACAAATTATTTGTATTGCTGACCTTTATTGCTTTACATATTATCCATATACATTTTTCGTTGGTGAAACAATTAACAAACAAGCTGACGAAGCAAGAACATATTAAGATTTTTTGATAATTACCCATCGCTTTATATGTTTATACACAAGTGTCAGTTATAGACAACTTTGATTAACTGACCGTTTTTTATGATTACAGCGATTTAATGTATTTTTAATTTATGAAAAAAAGTTAACCTTTCAACATGATTAACTCTTATAATAAGGCATGTTTATTGATATTATATATGGATTGCTTTGTCTCAAATAAAGGCAATGAGTAGTCCAAATATATCGAATACAATGGATGTGATTTATGACTATTTTCCCCACAATGTCATCTGCAATAAAACAAACCATAAGCGGTGCTAATTGGGAAGAATTTAAGAAAAGGAGTAATGGAGTAATATGTGGAGGGAAGATCGTAAACAAAGAATTCCATGCAGTTAATAAAGACAATGGGATGGAGTAATTCACAAAAATCATCGTGTCTTTAACACACACGCATTATTTACTTACAAGCATCATTTGGAGCACATAAATAGATACGGAAATATTCATCATATGTGCGAGGAATTTCCCCCCAAAATACTTACGATTACTTCCCAACATAGACACACACACACACTCACACACCACATCAAGTACAAGACGAAACTACCGCAACAACCGTGACAAGTACAACATTTGTGTCGCCTGCCCCCCCCTCTGCCCGTCCTCACCATGCCTTCAATCTGTCGTCCTCTGCCGCGCCACAACCTTTGACACGCATAAATGGAACAGGCAATGCCAACACATACACACATATACGAGAACATACAACCCCCACCTCCACCCCCATCCACACCAACAACAACACCCTTACAGCAAGCTCGCACAGAGAGATGCAGTGCTGCGCTCAGTTTTTGAGCAAAACAAGCTAGGTTGTCAAAAAATAAAGCTAAAAAAAAGCTAAATCCAAGGCAATAAGCTTTATTAAGAACTGGCTTTAAAAACACTATTTTCTGGGATACATTTAACGAAATATCTGTTTTAATGTTATCATATTAATTCTAAATTCGTAAAAATTTGTAAATTTGTAAAAATAATAATAGAAAATTCACATTAATTGCAAGTTAAAGTTAAAATTATTTAAATCTGTACTTAATTCATGAGTTCATCTAAATTCACTGCCTTTTCGTCAGGATAATAAACGCAGACACTTTGTTAACACACTTAAGACATTTCTAAACGCAGCGAAGCCAAACTTATAAATGATTTTCATAGATTTTATTATTTGAGTCTTGACAAAGATTAAAAAATATAGGGTGAAAAATAAAGTAAAGCTAAAAAAATGTTAAATAAATTTTTTAAAACTAGAATTGCCGCAACCCGCTATTTTGGAATTTTTCCCGCACTGGGATTTAAAAACCAGCCAGTTCTGGCGGGAAAAAAGCTTAAAAGCCAGCACTGGAGAGATGCCAGGGCTTCGTGCCAGACCCTGGGCCGGGACAAACAAAGATCGCAATTTGACTCTGAACCACGAAGCTGTCAGCTCGCAGTGAGTAGAAGAAGATTGATTACCGCCATCGAATTGTTTGCCTTTTCGGGGTGGATGTGGGCCAACATGTGTGCATGTGTTCGTCTCTCTGTGTGTGTGTGCGTGTTTGTGCTTCTGTGTGTGTGTGTGTGTGGATGCGAGTTCGATTGAATTGCATTAGAATCGAAAGAGTTATTCGCTTATGCCTGCCAACTGTCAACTGGCTGGCTGCCTGGCTGGCTGATTTCACCGGAAAAGGAACCGGAACGGCAGAAGTGTCAACAACAACAACATCAAAATTCCTGCCCCTCATATGTAAACAACACTTGGATTTGTATTATGGCATGGATTTCTGTTTGTTCGCTCGCTAGTGTCGCTTTTAATTTAAATATATTAAATAAACTTTTAATGAGTTTACAACAAGATGGGAAAATATTGAAAAAAAAACTTCGATAGGCGATTAAAAACTCTATAAAGCTGTGTTTAAATATTTATATTCTACAATATGCAATAGCTATTTGGCTATAGAGTGCTCAGTAAATCGATAATAAAGGCATACATTTTGCTTATTTTTTAGGCAATACTTGTATATGGGTTCTTTGGGAATTAAATCAATAAAACAATTCATAAAAAATGTAAAAACCTACTTTTGTCCTGTGTCGGTGCGAGATGATGGACATTTACGAAAAAAGTTACCAAAAAGTCTTCCGTATTGTGCTTTTTCATTGAAAACTCAATTTTATTCGGAAATGTTCAACCTCTTCTGCCTTTGAAGCCATTCTTCTTTTCAGAAAAAAAGAAATTATCGTTAAACATTTTATAAACGTTATTTCAAATTATATTTCTGCTTTACAGCATTACTCATAAATTGATTTTTCCGATCTTATAACACAATTCTTAGTAATAGATCAAGTATAAATCCAATTATCCGTTTACTTTTTCGCTTCATAGCTTGAGTTGAAAAACAGTTAACAATTCGTAAGCTTTAAATCCCTCTCACTAATATAAAGAGTATTGTTCAATATTCTTTATAATTGAATGCCAAATATTGAATAGTAATAACGAGAACACAAAAAATACTGTCTCTATAATAGTGGTGCGCTTTGATATAAAAATGTTAAATGCTTCAAATATTCTAAAATTTTTAATTTAAATGTCTTTTCTAACAATATTAAAATGGATATATATAGAAAATTCATATACATTCAGATTGATATTTTAGTAGCTCTGTAGTTGATAAGTTTATTGAGATTTCATATTTACGTAATTTCAGCGATTTGTGTACACAATTTTAAATCTCATCGTAATTTATCCTGGTGGGGCCCTTTGCTTCGGCATTAATATTGCAGAATTAAAAAAAAATATATTTTATTTCACGCATTCCATTTATTTCTAGGGCATGTCTTTTTAACATACTATTTTTATATTGCATTCTGCTCTTATAAATCAGTTTGCATTTTTTGCAAAAACTTGTCAATAAACTCCATTTGCTTGGAATTATATTTGCGAGCGAATTTCACACAATTATCATAATTGAAGTCGTCGTTCATGCTTTTGTAGGCCGCAGCTCTATAGAGCCAGGCTCGTAGATTTTTCTCATCCAGCGTATTCAGCACGAAGTCACAGTCGATGATGGCACGCTTGAATCTTTCCAATCTACAAAATATCTGAATAATCATCAGGAAATAGTTCTTATATAAGCTAAAAGGCTTACTTTATATAACACAAGGCTCGATTTATATATAGAACGGGGCTGTCCTTGATGTTTTCTATAGCCTCGCTGTACATCCTCATAGCAACTTCATAGCTGCCTCTACGATACTCAAAGTTGCCGAGTCTGTAAGGTGTATTGTAATTACAATTATCCGTACAATAATCGTATTTATTTATACTTTCTGAAGTTCTGAGCAACACGTTCGCGCTCCAAACGCGCCTTTGAACGCTCCTCCTGATTAATTTCCATCTGTCGCATAAATGTGAACAGATCCTTATTTGATTCCGGCACATTTGACTTAATGGTTTGTTTGTTCAGCTCCGGTTGCTCTCGACGTTTGGCGACCACAAAGTTGTCCTCCGTAATGTCAGTAATGGTCCCTGTTTGTAGCTTTAACTCTTCCCTTGAATAAATTGACTCTTAACACATTTTTTGAGGCTTCTTTGTTTGCTTACTCAGCTGGCTTCTGCGCACTTGCGATGGAATGCAATAATTTCATGACATCGTCCAGCTTCGACCCGTTGTGCAGAAAACTCTCGTCAATCTGTGGATGTTGCATTCTATTATAAAGTATTTTAACAAATACGTATTATTATAACACTCGAAATTTATCAGGTAAACTGTTTTGTTTGTTTATAGCAACTTTGTTTACTTTTCCACCACCCGCCGAGGAATATTGCTAGGCAACTGAAAACAGAAACTGGTTGCTGTTTCTCTATTCGATTGTTGTTCCATTTCTAGTTTCGTATTAATGTTTGTTTTTAAAAATTACTTCTATTAATATAATATGACATCAATTTTGAAAACATATTTTATTTGTTTAAGCAATTTTAATACTTTAATAAAATGCTTAATTAGAAATAATTCAATGCAGATCCTTCTTTTCGTACAGACAGAAAATCAGACAGATAGTCAGTTATGCCGATCACTTATCCCTCAATTTGTTCCACAGGTTGCCTCTATGGTAACTTTGCTCCTTGGATATCTTAGATGTAGACCTTAACAATATATAGCAACTGCCAACAACTACTCTTCAAGATTCTTGCTTTCATCCACAATGGCACAAGATCAGACTGATAGACAGTTATGGTGATCTATTATCCCTCAATTTCTTCAACATGAAGTATTCATTAAAAAAAAACACCAGTTTTTATTGTACAGAAAAAGTTGTGGCTAAACTTTCATTTATTAGCATGTAGCACAATACATTTTATTTTCTCATAATCACAACAGCTTTCTGGTCTCCTTGAAAGAGCAAGACTATGGCCTAAAAGAAAAAACACTTCAAAACATTGAAACACATATACAACTTATATATATGACTAATCAGTTACCATGGCAATGAACGAAATTAGTTTCATGTTGATATTTTAAGGGCAGGTTTTAAAATAAGACTGATTCGGTAGGAGTTAAAACATGACTTTTATAGTTTTAGCTGCGACGCAGATTAGTTCCAATTATAATCGAATCACATGCTTCAGAAACTCTTAGACGAAAACAAATAAATTATATAAAAGGCCATAGCTAATTAGCAAAATAATGAGCTGCTTTAGACCACTTGGTTTTGTAACCAGTAACAACATCAAGTGCTTTGGGAGGGGACTAATAAAATTGTTAATAAGTCCTTCAGATTAAACCAAATATTCATGAGTAATAGGAAAACGATTTCAATATCAATTTCATATTTTTTTCGCAACAGTTCTCTCGTCTCCTTGAAATAGGAAGTCAATGCCCTTAAAGAAAAAGCACTCCAAAACAATGAAACACATATACAAATATAAGTAATTTATATATCTATTCAGTTACCAATATAATGAATTTTAAAGTCTGGTTTTGAATAAGGACTGATTGCTTAGAAGTATGTACATATATACGTTTTATTTTACAAAAATTACAACGGATCTCTCGTCTGCTAGAAAGAGAAAACCAATTCCCTAAAAGAAAAACACTCCAAAACATTGAAACACATATATGTGAGCTGCAGTTACCATAGTAATGAAAACTATTAACTATGTTGATATTTTAAAGTCTGGTTTAAAAATAAGACTGAGTCGGTAGAAGTTATAACTTGAGCTTTAAAACAACTAAGTTATATAAAACGCCATAGCTCATTAACAAGTTAAAGTATAATAATGAAAAGTCGTTAATATCTTCAGTACTCAGCCCTTGAAGAATTGATTATATATTATTTATTTTTAAAAAATGTAAACTAAACTAAAGAGAACTAAGCTATTTGATAAGAAAAAGTCTCTATACTTGTAAAAGATTAAACAATCAAGCATAAAATACAATTATTTGCCTTTTGTAATCAAGTAATATTTCTACTCTGACTTTAAGACAATAAATGTCAAGGCCATTAGAATACATATGTATATATATATATAATTATTTATTTAAGCGAAGCGAGAAAAAGCTAATTGTGGATTATATCACAATAAGCTTAAGAATTTAGACATACTATAAATATATTACCTGATAAAGATAATATTTTAATACAATAATTAAAGTTAGCTTTAACAAACATTATATTTTTACTTCATTTAGCAAAAATCCCTTGCATGCTTGGCCCTCCCCATAAAACGGTTCGTAACTTGGCAAGCAAATGGCATTTGCTTGAATTTTAGCATTTGAGAGTGCAGCGCTTAGACGACTATATCCCCCATTACTTTTCATTTAATCTCATACAATTTGTAAGATAAAGAAATGCATGCATGTTTAGCTCAAAGGATCAATTATAGACTATAAAGCATAATGGCATCTAATAATAGAGCCGCAATCTGAGCGCAGTGCCAAAGACCAGCACCGACTACGACAACGCCAGCACGGCAACATTGAAGTTAGTCCCCGCACCTCCCCTTCCCCACCTCCCATCCTCTCATCCGCCTCTCTACAAAGCTCCAACCAAGCGAGTGCAACGCGTTTTCATGGCTATGCATGTCGCTCGACATTACCTTGTGGTGTGCTTCCACCTCACTCACACCTTGGAAGTGGACGGCGCACAGTGGTTCAGCTTCATAGTTTCTGAGGGCAAACTTTGTCCTTACAAAACATTTCAAATGAAGTGTTTCTATTGATTATTGCAACTAAATTTACAATTGGGAAGTATTGGAGGTGAAGAAAAACTTTTGGGCGAATTTTACAAATTCTTGGCAGTCTCGTATTAGATTTTAGTGATCATTGCTTTTAGAATAGCTCCCTAAAAAGCTCAATCGAACTAATATAATAATATTAATCTCCATCTTTAAACTTCCTTTTTTTCTACTTTCGTATTCATAATTTATTCATATTTTGAGCTTTTTTTTTTTAAAAATTTATATTGAAATCATACTTTTTGGACTTGTGAGTGTACTTTTATCCTAGGACAAGAATTAGTATTATTCTTGGCTGTTTCTCTGCATCAAAAATAGGTATTGCCTTAAATTTTTAAAGTCGTAAAAACGACGCTTAATACATTTTTTGATCGATTGTTGCTATAACTATGATATAGGATGCACTGATTGGAATACAATAAAATAGTTTCATATGACAGAATAAAGGTTATGTTGTCATCCTGCAACAAATTCCTTGAAATGTTGAAAGACCGCTTGTTATGGAAAATACAATCAACTTTCTTTCAATTTCGATTTAGTTCGATTTTCGAATAAGCAAAAGTAATGAACTATAATAGTAGTAATTTAAGAACGTTAAAGTTTGAAATTTTTTATCAATGAAAATATGAATATTCCACAAAACTTATATATAAATAAAATGAAATAGCTGACGAGTTTAATTAAAACTTTAGTTTACAATCAACAAAATCACAAATATTTAATTTTTTTACATTGTGGCTCAATTTTCCATTAAACATATTTTTTAAATTCCAAGATTTGAAATTTATCGATTTTTAATAAATACTAAGCCCTTAGTTCTGCCTAAAACTACATTTTCCAATATTTCCAAGGTCCGATTTGTCGTCATTTTTATGAATCAAGTAAATAAATTAAAAAATTTAAAAATGCCCAATTGATTGAAATAAAAACTAGTACATCCTTTTACCTTTTCGCCCTTTACACAAAGGTGTGTTGATATTTTCCAACTGTGTATGTGGGTGTTGGTACCACTGTGCGGCGGATATATGTCGTGTGCACATGCATTTAAAGAGCCTGAGCACACACATGATGTTTACCTCCGCCCCTGGTGCGTGCCCCCTGCCCCTGCCCCTGCAACAGCAACAGCAACTGCGCCGGACATGGTTAAGCGCCAGGCACGCTCGTTTGTCGGTTTGCTCGCTCGGTGGCTCGGTGGCTATGTGGCTGGCTGGCTGTATGGCTGGCTTAGTGGTCGTTCCGTTCACGCAAGGCGGGAAAATGCAGGAATAAATAATTGCAGCACAAAGCGAGCCGGTGAACTGGTTGTGGCACCATTCAGCAGTGGTCGGGTCCAACACCAATTGCTGCTCACATGACGCACCGCATATTCATTTGTACGAGTATATATGTATGTATATAGTATTCGTATATGAGGTGAACGGTCGAGTTTTGTTGCAGCAATGGCGACTCTTGCTCGTGTCCATATGACGATGTTCCGGCGTCATCAGCCTAGATTGCCATTCCGAGTAATTGTTACAAATGGATTTCATGTAATTTAATTGTAGGTTTTACCCGATGAAAAATATACCAACACTGAGCCATAAATACCGCTCTGAGCTGCCATACTGTGAGTCCTTATGGGGAGCTAAGCAACAAATAACATCTGCCAGGCCCTAGGAACCGAAATACAATCACTTGGTATAGCTTCAGATGATATTTATGAGCTAGGGAAGTACTTGACCGTTAATTTTTCTACAATGATTAATTTGGAGGGGAGGGTAGTTTCTGAAGGAATTGTGGAGCCAGGACTGCATCAATCTGTTCCACACTCTAATTCGAATAGCATGTATAAAATAATCAAAAATTCAAATTGTGTCGCTCAGCAGCTCGTATGTCCTTGGGGTAAGCAAAAAAAAAGAAGTAAAATGGGAAAAGAAACAACAGCAGCAACAGATGTGGAGAACAACATCACGACCAAGTCTCATGATTCAAAAAGAGCAGCAAAAAGATGCCTTCGTATCGCCCACATGAATTTGTATGCCCCATCTCAGGGGCTAAGGGTGCGCCCCCGGAAAAGGCCGCCTGACTCCAATTGGCATTCCGGCATCTAAGTGATTTTTTTTCACGCACTGACTGCGAAAATAACCTTCCCTGGCATACAAAACAAGCGTAGAAACGGAAGCTTTTTTCTGGATTGTTCAGAGCGCCCTGCGCACTATTTTTCTTTGTTTTTTTTATATTTTTTTTAGAGTGTCAGCTGGAGGCAGCACACATCCAGTCATACATTAACATGTGCCCGGCTGTGTGAGCTGAATAAAAGTTTACCTTTTGAAACATATTGCGCTTGTTTATACGGCAGGTGTGGCGATATATCCACGGTCCTGGCCCAGGATGCGGCGCATTGAAGGACTAACACGTCTGTGAAATGTCATAACGTTTAAACGTGCCCGAAATGTTCAAATCTAAAACGTAAGCAGGGAGCGACCAGCACTCATTTTCACAAAGTATTCAAAAAAACAAGAAGGTAAACATGTGTACATGAATCAACTTATATAGTAGTATATAGTCGGCTAGCTGGGTTGGTCTTAGCCATGGCCGTAGTATGTCTCTTAAAAATAATATTAGACTTAACTATGTATATACAAGTATCAAGGAACAATCTTTATGTACTATAAAAAAATAAATTTAAAATAAATATAAAATAAACATAAAGCATAAAATAAATATAAAATATAAAACTAATAAAAAATAAATAAAAATTTAATAAACAATAATAAATTTAAATGCGAATAAAATTAGTAAAATTAAATACGATTTCTTCAGTTAATGCATTCCTAACTACATTCAGCTCTGAACCATAGAAACTTTCTTTTGATAACTGCTCCGACCAAAGATATAGCTCCCTTTCCATGTGAGCTTGCAAAAAATCCTATTCAACTGAGAAACATTCGCATTCTTTTTAGAAAATTAAGTAGACTTATAGTAGAAGATATAAATTGGTTTTCAAAGCAATTTCAGAGCAGCTCCCATTAGAAAATTTAAATATATTTGAAAAACATCAAATTTTTCTCCCTTCCCTTCTTTTGCACGCCCGTTATTCGCCGTTATTATTCATCTAGATTTCAATAATTTTAAAGTTGTTAGATACATGCAAAGAATATAATAAAAATTAATCATTTATGTAGGAAAACAAAATTTCAAATTGTTAAATTTCACACTCCCGATGTGGCACTGGACCAACTTTATAATAGTTCTACGATCACAAATCTTATTTTTTAGTTGCTCTTTTGATAAATAAATTTTCATTATTTTGAATTTATTTTTCCATATTTTTCATGTGTTTTTTCAAACAACTTTTTTGTGTAGTAGCAATTAATTTGATAGTAAAAAATCGGCCAAAAAATGTTGGCCCCCCCTCGACTAAATCCTGGCTACGCCCGTGGTCTTAGCCGACGTTTGCTGAACAGCACTGAACGGCTAATAAAGAAAATTGTATTTATAATGATATTAATTAGAAGAACAATAACTGCAATCACATCTAGTTAATGATTAGAAGCTTGAATATAATTTATTTATTCAATAGTTCATTGGTTTATTAATTAGTTTGTAGTTTTAACGCCTAAATGCAAACCCACTCGTTATGAGTTCCGCAAAATCGTTTTCAATATTCCACTAGCAATCTTAATTAGTGTATGCCTGCGGCTTAGTATCAGCATGGCTCCCAAATATTTGAAGTGCACATTTCATTTGCAAAGAAACGGCACTTTCTTTGAGAATTTATGGATGAGCGTTTGGGAAATAATTGGCGTATGCCGACAGCCGCAAATTCAAAATTCAGAGCAGAATGCGCACAGCGATTAGCCATTAAAATTATAGATTCAATCTAATTAGAAAACGCCGCGGTTTCGGCCTGCATTACCTTCAGATGCGACTCTGAAACGATAACTAGCCGACTAGGAGGCATAAGGCATCAGGCATAAGGATGCGAATGCGCAAGCCAACTGAATATTTAATTTAATTAACAAGAAACAATTTGAATTGTCTTGGTCGGGCAGCTGAACTCGACTCGAGGCGTGCCGATCAGCAGTGAGCTCTTGAAAGGGGGTAGGAGTGCGGTGTGAGGAGTGAGGGCTGAGTTAGCATTTGAAATTTATTGTTATGACCGCGGCAAAGCTGCTTAAAAAGCCATCCTCAGCCGCAGTCGCAGCCGCAGTCGCATCCGCTTGAAAGTGTCATCAGCGTTACTCGCGATGTCCCATAAAATCGCAAAGTGGCGGACCAGAAGGAATGAATTCGCAAGCACTCTACACTGATAAAATAAGTTGCATAGTACAGATTAATATTTTCATAGCAAATTTAATGTTCTACTATTTCATATTCCAATCAAATATAAACAACATGAATTTAAATAAAAACATATTCAATTAAAGATTTATGATATGAATAATATTCAAAACAAAGTGTAAAACTTTGTTATTAAAGTGTGTCAAGCTCAATTAAATATTGGACTATATTTAATTCTAGTAAGATACCACTTAAAATATGACAAATAGTTAAATTTACTATACCAAAAAATTAAAATTTTGATTAAATAATGCACGATTCATTAAAAAAATAATTTATGCTTATTTTTAATGATCTTCAACAAATACAACTCAGTTCCATTTTAAGGCGAAATAGTGCGACATAATAATGAACGTGTGGTTGACTTTATATGACAACTTTTTTTGTAGGGGTGTCAACGGCTCCCCCCCTGCTCCCCCCCCCTGCCTACGCCCTTGATCATTAGGTATGTGTCAAGTATAAGTGTTTTCAATCAGCTTTTATTCACTTTTAATATAAATATTCATCTAAACTATACAAAAGACATAAAAAAACGTCAAGATAATTAATTGGTAAAAATTAATAATCAAAAGAATTTGAAAATTACTTTCCGCTAAAAATGGTTCCTATGAAAAATATATATGGTAAGTATATAAAATATTAATAATATATTATATAATGTCATTATTGAGAAGAGTTAAATACAGTAGAGTAGACCAAAAATTGGGAAAAATATTTTAAATTTCTAAGAAAAAAAAAAAATTATAAAAAATAAACCCCCGTCCACATCATCATTTGAGATTTAATATCGCCACACTTTAAATGTAGTATTTTAATATTGAAGTTGAAATTGAATCGATGGTAAAAATATTTAAATCTACGTGTAAATATTGATATTTACGTGGTTTTTTTTTATCAGTGTAGTGTGTGTGTGTGTGTGGCTGAGATGATTGAGTTTTTAGTGTGTAGTTTGTGTGTGTGTGTGTGTGAGAGTTAAATACAAAACACAATTGAAACAATCTGTTGGACATGTTTATTACAATCGCATTTTGCGTAATTGGAGCTGCTGTCGCATTTTTATGCGCCTTTGATTAGCTGCGTTTATTGCCAGACGATTAGCCACACCCATCAAACCAAAATCACATCTATATTCATTATGGCAGCATACTAGTGTGCTTAAATGTGTGTGTGTGTGTGTTGTCCTTGCATGTGTGGCATGTGTAAATGCTGGGCAGGACATGCTCGCCGAGGCGACATCTGACAAGACCACATGCTCAGAAATGTCAGCAATGCGCATGAAAATTCCAAGTCCCACCCCTTTCCTTTGTCCACAGCTCTAAATGCTCTTTAGCACTATTTCTGTTTCCGCACTTGAGGCAACACTTCAACTTCCTCCCAGGGGAAGCAATTTGCCACCAAGGGTTACCCCGAAACTCACATCACATGTGTGCGTGTGTTTTTGCGTATGTGGTTTATATTCACGATGCCTTTGGGGCGCTCCTTCTCTCACATTTTCACGCTCTCAGGTCAAAGACGACGGGCATCGTCCATCCGTCCATTCGTCCATTGGTCCATTGGTCTGTTCGTCCTTCCGCTCGGCCCAAAACAAGTGTCCCAACAATACAAGTAATGCGTGCGGTTAAATATCCATAAATCAAATCGGACTGTTATTCGGACTCTAAGGCATTTTCAAGATGACCGCTCGTGTCCCGTGTTCCGTATCCTGCGCCCTGTGTCCTGCCTCCTGAGTACATTTCGTGCGCCAAGTCAATGCGGTTGACATTTTTCAAGCCTTAATAGATGGTGCACAAACATTTGACTATTCACTGGAATTTCTTCACTTGACCTCAAACCACAAAAGGACATTTACTGCAAACCGAAATTAAAGTCAAAGGGCAAAGGCATTTAAAATGCAGCAAAGTCAACTGTTTTGCAAGATTTTGCATTCATTTTTTATTTTACTTATGAATACAGACTCTGTATAGGATCTCCACCGCAGGGTTCTGGAAACAATAGAATAAAGACATGTGCTGAAGCCATTCATTAACATACTATATCTACAGCTAACTTTTGCTCTTCACTTAGAATTTTTGTAGGAAACAAGATTTTATATTTGCTTATATAATGTAGTCCTGAATTGGAGAAAGGACTAAGACTTATTCATAAACAACATTCACATAATTACACACAAAGACACATTGGAAACTGAAACCATTTTGAGGGTTTTGGACAATATTGTTGCTATTAAATATATTGAACTTATTCAAAAAGAAAAGAAAACATTTCATTAGAATATATTAAAGAATAATGTATTCTTTATTATTATTACTTTATAGATTTACATTAGTAAACAATTTTAGTATCTTAGACTTAAATATTTCATCAGAAATTATTGAAACAAAATCAAAAACTCCTTTTAAAACACGTCTCGTTAAGTTAGATTTAAATTTCTAATAAACAGTACTTATGTCAAATGCTGAAAATATTTTTAACAAATATTTGAATTAAATATTGTTTTATAACATTAAAAGGAGTAATGTACTTTAATGTACTAGTTTATATATTTGTATAATATTCTAAATGTATTTTCAACTTAATTATTGCTTTCCAAAACCTTAAACTTATTATAATTAATAATTAATATGCATGCACTTTAAAGAAAATAAGTTGTTTTCACTGAGGTGGACATTTCTTTTGCGTCAACAAGTCGCTGACGTTTGCTTATGTCTATAATTACTTAATTAATTAAAAACTAATTGGTGTAATCGAATGTTAGAGCGCAGGGATTCACATGCGAGGCTCTCAGTTTCCTCGACTTGGCCACGGGCTCACCCCACGCCAGGTTCATGGAAGGCATTGGATGCATGGAGTTCGTTGCGGTGTTCTGGTGCCAAGGCTGTTGTGCTATGGGAGCTGCAGTTGTTTTCGCTTTGGACCATGCCTGTGCAGCCGCCTCTAGATCCTGCTTAATGCTCTGTAACACCAAATCCACGTTGTACGAATAGTGGCCTGCTGTTGGGGCTGTAGTTGATGTGGCGCCCAACGTGGGGCCCGTTGGATTTGGCGCCGATTGTGCTAGGTGCTCCAGAATTTCATTGAGATCGGAGTTTGTAGCTGAAGCATTGGTGCTGCCCTCTGACTTGACCTTCCCCCTGACTGATTGTCCATAGTAGGGTGCGGTTGCGGCAGCGCGTTTCTCTGCAGTGGGGTCCTGCGAGTAGGACATGAGTCGCTGCACAATGCCACGATGAGCGTTCTGTTCTGTCTGCGGTTGAGTTAGCTTTACACTGGGCTTGGGATCGCGTTGTCCCTGAATGTCCTTCTTGAATTTCATACGACGATTCTGGAACCAGATCTTCACCTGGCGCTCGCACAGAGACAGTCGTTGGGCGATTTCAATGCGGCGTGTACGATAAAGATACATGTTGCTTTTGAATTCGTTTTCAAGCTCAACGAGCTGCATGCTGGTGAACGCTGTCCGCGAACGCTTCAGCTTAACGCGTTGCTCCTGCACAGGCGGGACGGACACATTCTCATCGGAGGACAGCGACTGAACGGCCGGCTGCTCGGGAATGGCGACTGCGGCTGGTGGATAGTGATGGCTGGTCAGCATTGTTGGCTGGTGTTGGGCGGCATAGATCAGCTGTGGAGGTAGAAGTATGGCTTAGTCGTTGAACAAAGCGGCAGAATCTGTCGATGCTTACGTTAATGTCGCTGTACTTGCTTACAGGTGCAGGATACGAGCCCACGTTGGACTGGTGCACTGGAAAGTAATGCATCACAGAGGACATGATGAGCTGCGGAGCTGTTTACGAGTTGTGTCGTTGGCTTGAACGTTCAAGTTGGTTGTGATGCTCAGGCAGGCTTCGCTCCTCGAATTTATAGCTATCCTAGGTAGTCGAATACGGGCGCGTTTGCCAAAAAATTTGCCTAAACTCGCACTCGGCCATAAATCCTTTTGTACAGAAGCGTCGTCGTCGTCATCGCCAACGCCATGGTCCTCGTCTGTCTCGCTTTTGTGTTGCGCTGGACGGCTGGCCAGCCGACTGGCACCACAGAACTGTGGCAATCTGAAGGCTTGTTTTTATCGGCCAAGATTTGACGTTACGTGACGTCGTCTAGCCAGGTAGACAGGACGGGAGAGCGGCGACTCCGACTCCTATTCCTACTGGCTATTGGCAGGCTCATGATGATCTTGTCTATTGTTCCAGCTCTAACACCAGCACCTGTTTGCAGGACTTGTCGCTGAAAGTGAAAACCGTGCACTGCTCTCAAGGACGTGCGGCGTCGCTCGTGGCCGTGTCGCGGCTCACAGTCGCCGAGCCACAAAAATATGCATAATAGAATAAAAGGCGAACTGCGAAAAAGGATATTTGAGGGTTTTATGCTTGATTTGACGGTTTATGATTTTGTTTGTGCCACACAATTCTCCGGCCGAGCTCAGGTCGCTCGAATACTCGGCTAGCAGACTCGGCGCCCCGCGCTTTTGTTCGAGAGAAGGTCGCGCATGCGAAATTCGCATTTGTCGCTGCTTTTCCAAATTTTATTACTGGCGCTATCGGCTTTGTGTTTTCGCAGAATTCTCTTTCAAATAAAACGATACAAAGGGAAAGTCATGGCGCCGATCTACACAGTTGGGCGATATATGCTCTCAGCACATACGAGTATCAAATAAATTATAGAGAATCATATAATTGGATAGATTGAACCTATTATTCTGAACAGAAATCTGCAAACTAGTCAAAGGGTTCAATTTTTATTTTAATCCAGTTTGAAAAAGGAGTTAAAAGTATATGAAAGTATAAGCCTTTAAAGGTATGGAGTACAGGTTTTGAATTTGAGATGCCAGGCCAAGATGTTAAAATTGCAACGCTTCATTTTGACAATTTCTGGGATTTAAATATTAAATTATATTCAAATGTATTTCGGAGTGTTCTTTTGTTATTACTAAGAACGTTTCATTACAATATTAATTTTTGAAGCTTGTAAATATCTTTCTTTTGTGGAACATACTCAGAAAATCCTTAAAAGCAGACAAATTCAAATTTTTGATTGGTTTTTATTTAAATTGCTTAATTGCTACATTGAATCGAAATCGATGCAAACGAACTTTGAAAATCAATCTTTGATTGCTAATAATTTTACTTTTTTTAAATATAAAATCTAATCCGTAAAATAATTTGAAAGCACTTCAAGCGATTATTTGAATTTAAAAGAATTTGTCCAGCAATTAAAACTTTAAAACATTTATTTATCTATATACCATAAATTAATCTAAAATTCCAATTTCCTTCCAATTTTTATTCTATTTGTCAATTTCTAAAGGTATATTATTTAATTAACTGGGCAGATAGCTTACTTAACATACTTGCGTCAAGAAGCACACAAATAAGATTTTATGATTATGAAAGATTAAAAATAATAGAAACATTTAATTGAATTGCACAATTAAATCCAATTTAATGCGAAACGAATGGCAATCAACCTGAAAATGGCGCGCCCTCGTTTGCCCAATCGCCTCAATAAAATGGAAAATGAAAACAAACCCAATTCTGTCTGTTCGTTCATATGCGTTTTGGATTTTCCACATTTTATATCAAAGAAGCATCTCGATGACGAAAACATTGTCACGGGCGTCCAGGCCACACCTGGTCCTGGTCGCGAAGCCAATTCAAGCCTACCTAAATAGAACGGGCCGGACCAGGCGGCGCAGGCCCGAGCAGGTAGGTGGTGGGTGACCCTTGATCGGGTGGGTCGTCAGCTTCAGGCGAACTGAGTTTGCATTTGCAAGCTGTTCCTGGAAATATCGCGGATCGGATTTTATGACACATACTCGCATATATGTCCCTTGGTGTTATAAAAGGTGGCATGCAAAAAAAGAAGATATTTTAAATTCATAAGATTTTCGGAAAACCCAGCCACAGTTTTCGTTCATTTCACACATGTATGTGTGCACGTCCATGTGAGTGTGCAATAAATGGGAATGCACGAATACACTGCGCGAAATATTATGTGACTTTAATACGAAAAAAAAGTTGTCAGATTCAAACAAAGCTGTCAATTTATTAACTGTCAACATCGCAGAGGACATTTGAAAGACCTATCGATAATTCTAGCAGCTGTGTGAGCTTAAAAATTGAATGTCAGAAACAATTAAAATGGAAAAGACTTTGAAGGCATCGCGAAAAAAGCAATCGGAAATCCTGCATAAAGGCACCGATTCATTGCATATGGTATTAGACACATCGGCTATAGACGCCCTCCTTACACTGCCAACTGACAAGGATGTCAGCGGCAGTGTGACGCTCCCCAGCAACGCCAGGGAGTCGCTCTATGTAACACCCCCGATCGATGTGAAATGCAACTTTGAACACAAGCTGGAGGAGTTCGACAAGTATTTGCGGGAGCAGAGAAAGTATGCGGCGGATCCGGAAAAGCCACTCTCCGCATTTCTGCCGAAGAGCATCTACCACGACATCGATCAGAAGACGGAGAACAGCACGCTGGAGAGTGTTCTGGGCACCATCCAGCCGTGCCAGAAACAGCTGCATGCGCTGACCAGAAAGGAGCTCCACGGCTTCAGGCTATGCGCTGGCATGGTGTGTATGTAAATTTATTTGATTTATTTATTTAAACGACCTATTTGCTTTTACTATATAGATACCGACTAAATATTGTACAAATATATCGCTTGCGGCAACCACAGTGCTGCCCGATCCGCCGCAAAGGACTCAGGACTTTACACCTGGTGTAGTGAGAACCCTAAAGGTGTGTGAATGGGGAGAATTTTTAGGCTAATATTACAGCGGTCTAATATGGTTTTTAATTCTAAAGCGTTGCTCCAAAACCTGCAGCAAATCCAAGGGACAGAAGAAGGGACATCAAGGAAGATCCAGAAAGAATTTGCAGCTTTACAAATAGAGAATCTAGACATTAAAGGCCTCTCTTTTGAATTTAAATTTACATTCCAAATATAATAACAGATAATTAAAACCAGTTTCTTTGCTGGGAACTGCTTTGCTAGTTTTATATATATTCCCAAAAAAAATAATATAGAATTTGACTTAATAACTAAACATTCTTATACGTATTATTTCCAATGCATTTCTAAGGTACGCCAATTTGTAAATTCCACAAATGAGAATTGAGTTGGAGGTGGGAGCATAGTTATCACGTCTTGATTGGCAAACTGTTGACTATTCTTACGCGAAGAATGCCACAATTGCCACATGAAACTCTCGGCACAGCATTATTAAAAATATTCTGACGATTATTATTTGTTAAATGTTCGATCTTCGACTAATAATACATGTGTTTCGATTCACACGATTATGAGGAAGAGAAACATTTTGCATTTCGAAACAGTACAGTTTGTTGGCTATGCAGAGTACTCGCAGCACCAAACCAAATCATTTACATTGGGAATTTCCTAAGAAATGTGCAAACTTGCTTTGCAAAACGTTCAAGCCCATGATGTGCATCGAGTGTTTCGGAATGGGTATTCATGGGCTTTTTGGAATATCCATCCAGAAACAGTCGAGGGACAACATACGTCTTGCAAGGGAAGTTTGGCCATCAACTGATTTAATAATAGAATGGCAGCCTTTGGAAATGCATTGGAAATTGTGGCGCCACTTACATAGCTATGTGGTTTGTTAAACATTTGGGGCAACATACATACAATTATTAAAGTAACGTACAAACTAAATATCTACAATCATTAAGTCTTTGTACAATCAGGAAACAACGATTAAAATTAAAACCTAAAGAGCTGTGTTAGTAAACCATCGTGGGCTTAGGACTAGTTGAAGCAATAGGCGAACTGCGTATTGCCTGTGGCATTACGATGCGGATTATACGCTTGCATTATCGTATCCATCGTACATTGGTATTGATTGCTTTCGTGCATCGATTCGTGCAGTGCTGGCGGCGGCTGACTTGGCGCGGCAGTCTGCACTTTTCCAAACTTGCTGAAGACCCCGTTGCAGCCATTAAGACCCACAGCGGCAACTGCGCGCAGACCCAAGCCAAGGATGCTGTTGCCACCCTCGTAGGCCACCTTGTTGCTGTCTGTATCAACGTTTTTCAGTTCTCTCTTGAGTGGCTCCAAATTCTGGAATGAAGAAATGCAAAAGTGTGTTTTCAATCAAGTTTACTAAAAATAGAATATTCAAGTAAATAAATAAATAAATAAATAATGAAAGAGAAATATAATTGATAAGGTAAAAGTTTTAGTAACAAAGATAGCAGAAACTAAATACTAATTCTAAAATTTCGGTGCTTATTTATAGATTTGCACGAAATTAAAATTCTTCAGAATTACTTAAAATACTTGTAGAACATTCAGGTAAATAAATAAATAATGAAAAAGAAATATAATTTATAAATTAATAGATTAAGTGACAGAAACTAAATACTAATTCTAAAATTTCGGTGCTTAATTATAGATTTGCACGAAATTAAAATTCTTCAGGATTTACTTTTCGCGGCAGAATTGTAAAATTGATATATCGGAAGTTAAACGTTTGGCATTCCGTCAAAGTCTTTTTCGATTTGCTATTTGCAATTTGTTGGCATCAAAATAATATATAATCAAGAAAACTTCAAAATAACCGAATAAAGTAATTAAAACACTTATAAACATTTTAAAGATTAAAGAATAAAGTGAAATACATTTTAACTATTTATGAAGGGCCTTGAAAACCTTGCAGATAGCTCACTAGGACTGAACAATTTTTAAAATCGGTCGAAAAACTCCATAAGAACATGAATAAAAAGGATATAATATTAATTTCAATAGCAACATCTTAGCTTTGCCACTATTAGGTATTATTATTTTCCTTTTAATTCTTAAAGGCAATATCATTAAATGGAGGGAGATTTCAGATCAGCATTTTAAAATGGATAGTTCAGAGAATATGTGAGTTAGCTCATTAAATCCAGCTCCCAAACTTAGTTATTTCCATTTAGTTAATAATACATTTAAAGCACTCACCTGTAGCGTCGTCTTCTTTGTCGATCCATCGTCCATGTCCTCGGTGGGATCGACGGTGCCGCCAACAGCAGAGCATGCGCCGCCAACGCTACCGCTGCCAGTGCTGCCACCGGCGCCGCCACCACCAACACACAGACTTGGACTTTCGTCATTTTTGGGTGTTAATGGCTCGTAGACTTCGGAGCCAGGCGAGAGGGCAGAGGTCGCCTCGATGGCCATTGGCACGCTGGATAGGGTTGTCGCGCTCGCTGCTGCGGACATGCGCATGTAATACGAGCTGTTGAAATTGTAGTCGGCTTCGGGCTCGTCCTTGATCAAAGAGGAACGGCAAGGATTTGCAAAGTGATGATATTGTTGTTGCTGCTGTTGTTGTTGTTGCTGCTGCTGCTGCTGTTGTTGTTGCTGCATTGGAGTGGCCGCTTGTTGCTGCTGCTGCTGTGTCTGCATCTGAAGCGGCTGGGGCACGTGAATATGTGGCACGTGCTGCTGATGCTGCAATTGATGTCCTTGTTGGTGCATTGCAGGCGGCGCCTGCTGAAGGAGCTGCTGTTGCTGTTGTTGTTGCTGCTGTTGTTGAGGCGGTGGTTGCTGGTGCGGATTGGTGTGCTGCATGCCAGGAAAGAATTGAGCGGCAGAGTTCGGCGCAGCTGCCGCATACTGCGTATGGACATGCGGCACATGGCGACCATTAACTTGTGTGTGCGCGCCATGGTGGCCATTGTAGTTGTAATAGTTGTTGAACGGCTCGTTGTAGTGTTCCACGTGTTGAGCCGTTGGCGTGGAGGGCGTCGGGGAAGGCGTTAATGCATTTGGCGTGGCTCCACCACCACCACCACCGCCCAGGCTGAGCGCTTGTAGACTCGGTGGGTCCGCATCCGCCGGCTTCATAGCGCTGGGCATCGATGGCGAGAGTGGCATATTGTCGTAGGATTGATCTTTGTGCTGATCCGATTGAATCTTGTGGCGGCGTCGACGATTCTTAAACCAGATCTTCACCTGTGCCGTGCCCAGAGCCAATTTGGCAGACAGATCGGCCAGGCGTGGGGCAGTTAAATAACGTCCTTGCAGAAAGTGCTGTTCCAGCTCGGCGATTTGGGAGCTGGTGAAGGTGGTGCGGGTGCGACGTGGTCGTCGCATCACCAGCGAGTCCGACAACTCTTCTGCGAAGATGATGGAGGTGAGGAGCAGTCAGAGGAAAACGGAAATTGGAAAACTGCATTTTAGCTACTTGCCTGGCTTCGGCATCTGATTGGGCAGATACGGACGTATATAGTTATAGTTGATGGCGCCCGTGCGGTCATCAAACAGCTTTAGATTAATATACATATGAAAATAGTTGTCGTTGTTCAATTAATTGAATTAATTGGATTAAATAAAATGCAGGGCGCGTACTTACTAAATCGAAGGGATTTCGAAATTGTGGCGGCAACTGAAGCTGCGGATGTTGATGGCTGTGCGGGTGAGGGTGCGGGTGTGCATGAGGATGCGGATGAGCGTGTGATAGCGTGTGATGATAAAAATTCTGATCCGGCGGCGGTTGCGCCATTTTCCACAATTCCTTCCACTGCCACAACTTCTTATATGTAATGCTTTGCGTTTCACTCAAAATGATCAATTGGAATTGTTTTGTAACCGGTTACATTTGAAACGCGCCGGGAACTTAATTATTTACTGTTTCCACATTTTTCGCATATTTCTTGTTCACCATAAGGGATGGCAGTTGTGGCTATCGCGTGATAATTGATAGTAATAGCTTCTTAACAAAGGCGATTTACGAATTAATTGTCTAAGCAAAATGTATTTGCATAAAGCTTATATATAATATTTCCTTTTATTGCAACACTCACGTTGCACTCTCACATATAATAAATATATGTTTATAGGTTTCACAATTGGCGTGCGTGCCTCACGACAACAACACAACTTGGCCATCACCACAAAAAAAAGGCAACGCACGAGCAAGTGCCGTTATTTGACAATGAATATGAATTCAAAACAGAATAGTGTGTAAAGAGCCAGACCAGTGGACCGAGGAAGCAAAACGGCAACAGTGGCAACGCCATGCGAAGTAATGGAAATTAATAACCATAGTGGCGCTGTACGCAGCGACACCTATCAAGCAGTTGTATTTTTGTTCTGTTGCGCAAGTGCGCCGCTAGATGGCAAAGAAAAATTGTGTGAATGTGGGCGAACAATTTAAACAAAATTTTATTCAAATAATTACTATTTTTTATTATGGCGCACTATTTATATAAGTATCCGAAATCCTTGCATCGGAAGTGAACATAAAATTAACAATAACAGAATGAAGCGTATTTGAATTTGTCTATGCTTTCATTTTAATGCCAGTGTACTACCTACTACAAGTATGTTGTATGCAGAAGTTGGATATAGATATACTTGTATCTACATACATATACATATAGATGTACTTTCCATTCCTGAGCTGTGGCACGTTCCGAAAGCTAGGGCATATAGTACAATACATGCTGTGACCATACACGTACTATATACATACATATGTGTATTGTATGTATGTAAAATACCAAGTATCTAAGCGCTGGCTAATCGAGAATAAAATTGTGAATTTTCTAAAAAATTAAATATTAATATTGTGGAATTAAATTGCTAAATTTCTGAAAAATTAAATATAAATATTGTGGGCGCCTTCCTCTGCGATTCTCATGCCAAGCACCTGCGCGCGCAAATCGGGAATTAAATGATGAAATTTATGAAAAAATTAATATTAATATTGTCTAAAATAATTGTGAAATTTCTGAAAAATTCAATAAAAATATAGTGGGGGCCCTTCTCTGTGATTCTCATACCAAGTATCTAAGCGCTGGCAAATCGAGAATTATATTGTGAAATTTCTAAAAAAAAAAACAATTAAATAATAAATTTGTGGATTTAAAATGTGAAATTTCTAAAAAATTAAATATAAATATTGTGGGCGCCCTCCTCTGCGATTCTCATACCCAGTATCTAAGCGCTGGCAAGTCGAGAATAAAATTGTGAAATTTCTGAAAAATTAAATAATAATATTGTGGAATTAAATTGTGAAACTTGTGATAAATTAAATAATAAATTTGTGGATTTAAATTGTGAAATTTGTGATAAATTAAATAATAATATTGTGGATTTAAATTGTGAAATTTGTGATAAATTAAATAATAATATTGTGGAATTAAATTGTTAAATTTCTGATCAATTAAATCAACATACATTATACACGTACTATTTATGTTGTATAATTAAAAGCTTTAAAATTTTGCAAAGATACATATTTGTTGAACTAATACAGCTGCAAAATACTTGTATATAATGGATCAAACATATATACTATTTGTGTATGTATGCATCTATAGTACATTATTATTTCCAAGAACATCTTATCTTGTATTCTTTCTTAGAGTAAATAGCCCAAGTGTAAGTTGAAGTCCAGCTTATGTCCAGCTGTTTCAGCTTCCTAGCTTTTACCGTTTGGACTGTGCATTGATCGTTAGTCAGTCAGTCAGTGATGACATATATATAAATATATGGTGTACTATTGTAATGATGATGGGCTAACAGTTAACCTTCGAAATATGAGCACACATACACTGAGCCCGAACAGACTCTTCATTGATTAAGACGTTAGCTGAGTGCGGTTCCACAACTTGTGCTTCCATTTGCGACGAAACAAGATGATTGTAAATTTCAATTGAGCCTAGTTGCTGCTTCAACTGATCATAATTATCATTACTAACCATGTCATCATCATCATCATCACTCTCATCATTGTCGAGTTGACTTTGGCTGTGCAGAAGATGTTTGTTTCTGGCAACGAAAGTCAATTCGCACACACATAGTCAGCGAAAAAGCAAACAAACAAACAAACAAAATCCAAAGGATACACACACACACACACAAAGACATACTGACACACACGCACACACATATAGACTGTGCCACAAATTCACACGCAGTGTGTGACAAAGGACTTTTGGCAACCCCTGGCCCGACTCGGCCCGGCCCTGCCGAACCAAAACACCCAAAGAGTCACTGACAGAAACAGGATTCGGGTAATAAATTACAAAATTTGACATTTTCTGTTTCAGATCCGCTTGCGCTTGAACGTGAACGAGAACGAGCAGCGAGGAGCGAGCACTGAGCAGTTGCCCGTTCCTCGCGCATCCTACCAGCCCGGCATCGAGTGCATAAAGGACCCAAAAAAAAAAACAAAAAAAAATATGGGAGAGCAGCATTGACTGCAACTGCAGTTTGGGCGAGGATGCAAGGATAAGCATGTCACTTGCATGCTGGCTAGCTGGCTAAAGGCTGGCTGACTGGGCTGACTGGCTGGCTTGTTGCTGGCAGACAGCGGGGGGAGGGGGAGAGGGGAGAGAGGGCGAATAGAAGCGCCCTATGAGGTCCACTGATAGTTAACTTGAAATTTATTATTTTACACAATTTACAATTATCTGATTCGAATGTGCACAGAGGATGCATTCTCAACTGCTGCCAGCACGACCACAATTTAAGGTTTGATTTAATTTGTAGGCAGTCCCGCTGTCCCGTCTGTCCCCGTCTCCGACACCGAAACCAAAACCGAATCGGAATCTGAATCCGAATCCAAAGCAATGATGTGCGGGCCCCGCCGATGTGTGTCAGGGGCCGACGCACAGTCCGGGGTCTAACCACAATCAATCATTGCGTTCTTCGTAATCCTCGGAATGGCCGAACCAGCACGACAGCTCGAGGGATAGAGAACTGATTGCACAAATGTTGGGAAAAAAACGAGCGTCAAAAGAAAACTGTTGCCCCTTCGGTAGAAACAAAGCCCAACTATAGATAATGGCTTAGAGTGGCAAGATTTATTTCTAGGTATCCTTGCAACATGTTGCCTGATTGGCACTATAAACTATTGTGGCGATAAGTTCTTTGCCTTTTCAGTTTACAAACAGCACACACAAGGATTCTTTTATTTGGCATTCTATTAGCAATATAAATTTTAAAAATGCAGAGCTAATATATAACAATTACAACAACAATTTGTATCAAGCTTTGTGGAACTTCTGTTTTTTTTTTTAATACTAAAAAGAATAGAATAAAGGACAACTCATTTAATTTAATTAAATTAAATGAACTCTTTTATGTTGATCCGTCCTTAATTTGTAGAATGCAACAATCTTGCTCCTTGAATGGCTTTCCAAAGTTTTTGAAAATAAGGAACAGTTGAAGAACACGAATTTTATTATTATTGTTGCTGCTATTTTTAAAATAAATGCATTAATTAACAGCGTAGCGGTGGAATAAACATCGAATTGAAAACTCAGCTATGTTGTTTGAACAAATATGACAACCGCTTAAATAAATATCTCCATTTAAATATTTCCATTTATAGAAAGCTTTGTGGAATTTGTGTTTTTAAAAATACTAATAAGAAGAGATAATAAAAAGCATAAATGATAACTTAAATTTAATGAACTCCTTTACGGTGATCCATCTTTTAAGAAGACGAATTTGAACAATAAATGACATTTGGAACGTTCTAAAGTCACTTTTTATTTTTATGTCTAATTCTAGTTCATATTGAAAATATTTTGTTATTCATTTTTCTTAAAATAAATTGAAAATTCTACTATTAGTTTCTTAAAACTAGTGTAGTGTGCATACATAAGGAGTACACACTGTACGCAGTGCACTCTTAAGAACATACACTGTAACACTTTATTGCAGTGAATAAATTAATTCAAAAAGCCAAGCATAATTCGGACGCGATGTAATATGATCGCACATGCATTGGGCGACATAAGTGCAGCGTCAGTGCAACTAGTGTCAGCCACCTCAAGTGCACATAACATTCTCCCTCGCGCTCTCGCTGCCAACAGCGCTGAGTACAAATACATAAGTAAAATACATAATGCGGCCGCTCCGCTGCCGGCGTCTCTGGCAGCGCAGCTACGAGGCCTTAGCTAAGTTCATTTTAAGTAAAATGTAAGAAATCAGTATAAGTTCAAGTTTTAAGATTGAGTGTCATAAAAGTTAATAAATAATTAATAAAAACTCATAATAAAAAGTACGTATGTTATTACATGGCGACCGTGACAGTGTCCTACATAGGACCGTGATAGTGGTCCTGGAGGACCAAGGACAGAGGAGCTGATATACCATAAAAACGACCATAATAACGGCAGGAGGACAACTTTAAAATTCGGAAGACGGAGCTTGGCATGGACATCAACACAATAAAAATACTGAGTGAGTAGAGTGCGCGAGTGATGGGTAAACGCGGAGGTGTGCACAATAAAATTAATAAGAGAATAGCACATTTAAAGTGGCTTTTATTCTCAACTGCAACACCACCCGCGTGGACAACGGCCCAAAAATTGCAGGCAGAACTTGACTATTTAAAGTCAATAAGCAAAAATGCGAAACCCGACTCCGCAACTCGCTCCACTCGTATTGAAAATATAAATAAACGTGAAATAATTTTACCGCCTTCACCCAAGCAACTGCCAAGGAACGCAAAAAGCTGCCCAACGGACTGCGAGGGACCATTGCACACCCCACACTGCGAGTACACGTGCCGCCACTGCACGATACGCAATTAGGAGCAGTAAGTGTGAAAGGCATAGGACCGCCTTTTGCACCACCGCTGGAAAAACGCCGACGACAACTGTAAGTGCGGGAGGCAGGCCGCCCCTTGCACCAACGAGGGAGCATCAGCGTGCCACACCGGCGACGCCCAGCTGATGCGGGAATACACCACATCAAATAGCGACAAGTGCGGGAGGCAAACCACCACCAGCGACAACGAGGGAGCATCAGCGTGCCACACCGGCGACGTC